CAAGAGAATTTGCATCAAAATGGGTGACTTTTGGCAAAGAACTTAACAGGGTGAATTTCATTGCATTGCCAATGATAATTGTGACAGTATCGCAGTATTTGTTGCGGGTTTCACCGATGTTTATGTTGGGGCATCTTGGTGAACTATCTCTATCCAGTGCATCAATAGCCACTTCCTTTTCAAATGTTACTGGATTCAGTGTACTGGTAATATCTACTTTTTATTCTTCAACCTTTATTTATATCTTCAGTATTGTTATTGTCTTTAATTGACAAGGGATTTCAGCCTTTGACATAACTCAGAAGATGGATCGTTTGAGAACACCAACCTTGGAATCCAATTGTTCGTTCAAGCTTTTTGCCTAATGTGGAAAAGAAATGTCTATCAGCTGTTTGCTGATATGGGAATTTGTTAATATTAAGTGCTTAAACATTAAAGGGCATGCTGTTGGTGAAGGAAAATGAGATGATCCTAGAACTGTTTGTAGAATTTTAGGCGCCAACGAATGGAAGTCGTGCAATTTGAATAACAAGATTTGATATATGTAGAACCCAGTAGATCCAGGGATGAACATAACAGAATGACAAAGAAGAATTCATGTAGTCGACTCCAAGTTTATTAGGAATAAGGCTTGGTATGTAGTTAATGTAGTAAGTTGTTCAATGTGTAAATATCTATTTCCATGTAAGCGCAGATCCATTTAGGGTAGAATAAGCACAGATCCATTTAGGGTAGTATGAACCAAGCGACTTGTAGGAAATGTTGGATTGGTAAACTAAAACCAAATATATGTTCTAACTATATGTTTGGATCGCCATCGATTAAGCATTTTTTTAAATGTGAATTGAAGAAAACAATTATTTAGTTTGTGGATGTGCTGTTTGATATTATACGTTAAATGGTCATGCATTCATCTAAATCTGCTCGTCTAATCAAATTTCGAATCTGCTTAGCAGTTTGGAATGTCTAGCGCATTGGAAACTCTCTGTGGACAGGCATATGGAGCACAGCAATATCAAAGAGTTGGAACTTTTACATATGGTGCTATTTTATGTCTCTTTGTGGCGTGTTTACCTGTATCCCTTTTGTGGATCTACACAGATAAGCTGTTAATATTGATAGGCCAAGACCCTTCGATCTCATTAGAAGCCGGAAAATTTGCAATTTGGCTTATTCCTACACTATTTCCTTATGCCATTCTTCAGTCTTTGGTTCGTTACTTGCAGACTCAAAGTTTGATACTTCCAATGCTTTGGAGTTCAATTGCATCTCTACTTTTCCATTTGCCCCTTTGTTGGGCTTTTATCTTCAAGTTAAATCTAGGAAATGCTGGAGCGGCGCTTTCCATTGGTATATCATATTGGTTTAATGTAATTTTGCTCATGCTTTTTGTGAAATATTCTCCGACCTGTGAGAAAACACGTGTTTCATTCTCAAGGGATGTCTTCCGAACTATGAGGGAGTTCTTTCGTTTTGCTATACCCTCTGCTGTGATGGTTTGGTAAGACATTTTCTCTTGTTTTCTAGGATTCTACACACCTTTTTATTTATTTTTAATTCCCGAGATATAACATTGTCATCCATTGCTAATGTTTACAGCCTCGAGTGGTGGTCGTTTGAGCTAGTCATATTGCTTTCAGGATTGTTGCCAAATCCGCAGCTAGAAACTTCGGTTCTATCTTCCTGGTATGCTTATTATAGTTCTTCTTTTTTGATTATACAGTTAAATACATCTGTTGGCACTAAACTTCTATTGAAATTTCACGTTGGTTGCTAAACTTTGGATGCAGCTTTACGATTACTTCGTTGCACTATCACATACCGTATTCTTTTGGGGCCGCTGCAAGGTCTGCTCTTGTTCAATATACTAAGGGCCCGTTTGGCAAGACTTTTGTTTTTCGTAGAAGAGCTTTCTAAGGAAGCTAAAAGTTCTTCTAGCCAGACAAAGAACTTCCAAAAAATTATCAAAATATATTCCAAAGCAGCTTCTTAACATTAGAAGCAACTTTTGAGTTTTCAAAAGTCGTGCCAAACGGTCTCTAATATGTATTCCCAAGTGAAGAAATATGTATAATATCTCTCCGACTTTTTACTGTCGGAGTAATATTGATCATGTCATAACACTGATATGAAAATCATGATCATCTATGTAGCACTTTGGTTTCTAATGAACTGGGAGCGGGGAAACCACGTGCTGCGAAAATTGCTCTCTATGCTGTGCTGGTTCTCTCCATTGCAGAGATTGTTATAGCAAGCACTGCTATTTTCATTTCACGACATGTACTGGGATATGCATTCAGCGATGAAAAGGAAGTTGTCTTTTATGTCAAAGAAATGGTTCCTTTCCTTTGCATGTCGATTATCGTTGATAGCTTGCAGGCAGTACTTTCTGGTGATGTATCCATCATAAAAATTTGTTATTTTCAGAACTTTTGATTCTATTTTTTCTTTATATCAAGATATTTTCTTGGTTTCAACAGGAGTAGCTAGAGGTAGCGGGTGGCAGCATATCGGTGCCTATGTCAATCTCGGGGCGTATTACCTGGTTGGGATCCCAGTAGCTTTAGTACTGGGATTTGTCTTGCACTTGAAGGGGAAAGGGCTTTGGAGTGGAGTAGTAGCTGGAGCAACTGTTCAATCTATCACGCTTTCTCTTATAACTGGCCTCACGAATTGGGAGGATCAGGTTAGCATTACGAATTTCCATTTATCGAAGAAAATTTATATCAGGTAGTTAAAGAGTTAAACCAGCAGATGACTTGATTACTCTCATCTGTGGATATATACTACAGGCAATGAAAGCCAGAAAAAGGGCACTTGCAGATAAAATTCCAGGCCGGAATGAGCTGATCAATTGAAAGAATGAAGTGTCGAGAAACAAACTAGTCTACTTAATAATGTGGAACAGTGGAAGATTATCCATGCCATTCATTGAGAATTAAATTTTATTTGTCAAGTAACCAAACAATGATCAATTTTATTTCAATTGTTACTTATTGAGATTATACGTACTGTCAAAAATAAAGTATTTATTTTAGGCATAAAAACAAAAATAGATTGTGTTATTATCTTTGGATGCTCATGTTAGTGAGTCATACGTGGCTGGACATTCAAAAGTAATGATGAAAAATGCCATGTATTATCTCGTGTGTTTGATGCTTTGCATTTGTTGACTTAGAGCATCAAAGAGGCGACGAGAACAAACCTTGGAGTATTTTTTTATTTTTTTACTTTTCAAATATAATTGGAAACTTTGTTCTTCATCCTGCTCATGGTCATTTTCTAATTTAGTTCGTGATTTTTGGCAGCTTCAATCTTAATTAAGTTTTTAAGTTTCTAATTCTTCATTTTGTATCTCATTTTGGTATAAAAAGATAAATATTCATTTTAAGAAATCCCCGATTGGATAAGACAGAGTGGGGACAGTGGACACCTCTTTTTGGTATCTTATATAAGTTTAAGGCCGCTTTTCGGAGTGAATTGTAATTCGAAAAATTAAAAATTGATATAGTGCGGCCATACAATATGTGCAATAAATTCTCATTATTGGGTAGGGATGGCAAGGGGCGGGTATGGGACGGTTCAATCATTCCGATCCTCGTCCCGTCAGGTATTTTTGTTATCATATCTCATACTTATACCTGATTAAAGCGGGATGGGGCGGGTTCGCGACGGGATCGTGGCGGGACAGGTCTTGTCTCATTTATTGTTTTTTACCAATTTGTTAAAAACAATTTATGTTCTCTTTAAAAATGATGATAAATTTATTATTTTTGTTGGACAAAACTTAAATTTGAAATTAACTTTAAACGGGGTGGGAACTATATTTTTCGTATCCGCCCTATATCCGCTTCGTAACAATGACCCTCGCGTCGTACTCATCCCAGTTACCGATTAGGAGGGTAATCCCCGCCCCATTCAAGACGGGCCCCACGAGTATCGGGTTGAACGAGTTTTTTTGCCATTCCAATTATTGGGGAAAGTGAATCAACAAATGCATGCAAGGGGAGAGGAGGTTTGAAGTATAATTCCATGAAAGGAACTAAAGGAAGACAATATTAATAATTATGGTTCAATTCCCATTGTTTTCTCTTTTTTAAAGTAACTATCAAAGAAAAATATTTCTTTTCACTTAGGTGGGTTGTCCGTGGTGGGTTTGTTGCCAAAAGAATATTAGTTAAAGTTGTAATATAGAAGCAACCAATTATGATTAGAAGCTTACTTAAAATAGTAAAGAAAGCATTTCTTAATTCACCTCATCATCACCTTCGACAACCACCTTACATTCTTGCATGTCACGTTAATTTAGGGCTTATAGCCAATTAAGAAGAATACACGTGTTTCGATCGTAAACTTTTGTCTACGAATAATGATATGTAGTTTCACTAGAATTATAATCTTAGCCTAAGTGGCATTAGATAATAGGTTTATTGAAAGGTAAAATTAAATTAGTCACCTAATATGTGGCGATAAATAACATTACTCTTTATCATACATAATGTTGTAATTCTCTCTATTGGTAGAATTTTTTTGAGAATAAATTTTATGAGAAGTGATTTTTGGATAATGTTTGGTTAAAAAGTAAGAAAAGTTTATGAATTTATGTGCAAAATTATTTTATTTGATGAGTGTCTGGTTGAAAATAAATTTTGAAAATTTTAGAAAATTGTAAGAAAAATGAGCTTAAAGAGTATTTGCTTCAATTTTATATGTGCACACGAGTTTTGTCACAGACTTGCAGAGTAACCATATTAAAAACAATGACACTTTCGAGTTTACGATAGTTGTTCATTGCCAAATATTAGTTACTAATGACAAATTTAGTAATAAAAATGAAAATCGATGATTAAATTGTTACTTGTTAAACGTCGAGGATCAACTTGAAAAATCAGCATGCTAGAGAAGTAATTTCTCAAAGACCAAAAAAATCCTTTTAACTAACCACTAGTTGGCAATTTATTCAAATCAATCAATCAATAACTTTATCATATTGATCAACGGATAGGTTTGCTCGAACGTTTGTATCTTCTGTGGGCCGAGATGCACTGGATCCAAAATTTCAAGCCTTTATAATTCCCCGGCTTCCATTCAACTCTCAATCTGAAGAGCACAAATCCATTAGTCTCTTCAAGATTCAGGTGATATTAATTACTAAATCTGATAATCAGTCATTTGATTTGATTATTGTGTTTGGGAAATTCGTGTTTCGTTAGTTTATGATTTATTTCTTATCAATTTCTAGTGAAATGGATTGTGCTTAATTTGGGAAATTTGTAATTTATTTATTGATTTTCTGAATTTATAGTGAAATGCAGAACGAGATTAATTCTACATATGATGATCTCACCACCAGCTCCGCTACCTCTTCCGCCGAGAAATCTACCAACGCCGCCTCCGGTGCAAATAATCCATTCCTCTCGCCTGCATCTTTGAACTATCTGAACTCCATTAATTCTTCCTTCTACTCCACACTTTTCCCGCAAAACTACTCACCGCACTCTCCCTCCGACAGTACGTCGTTTGATGACGGTGACTCCGTCGCCACAGAGCGGCGCCTCCGGGATGCGAGTTGCATTTTGGAATACCAGCAGCTCTACAACAGCTACACCGTCTGCCTCGCCAAGCTCCAGGAGTTCATCGATGAAGGCGACTCTCTCCGCCGCGAGAACGACGCAATCCGCCTCTCCAATGCTGAGATCGCCCATCGCCTCAGTCTCCTAATCTCCGAACTGAATCCCTCCACCACTATCGCAGCTCCTCAATCTCACCGTCAACAAAACCGACTCGAAAGGAGGAATACGGAACGAATTTCACTTCCGAAGAGCATCTCAGTGCGTTCCAGTGGTTTTCTCAAGATGAATATCCCAAGTCACAACTCGACTCGCCATGAACTCGTAGGCCAATGCCGTCCTGCATCGGTGCGTGAACTCGCTATCATTTCTTAGCACATTCCAAATTCTTATTGTTTTATGTGCTTTTTGATCATACATATGTAGGTGCAGCAAAGGGGGCGCGTAGGAGCCGGAGAGGACGAAGGGGAAAAAGAATCCTTGGAATTTGAAGCGCACGATCAGGGAATGATTAAAACGGAACTATGCAGCAAATGGCAAGAGACTGGTACGTGTTCTTACGGAGAGAACTGCCAATTCGCGCATGGAATCAATGAGCTGCGGCCGGTGATAAGGCACCAGCGCTACAAGACTGATGTCTGCCGCATAGTACTCGCCGGAAAGATTTGCCCGTACGGTCACCGGTGCCATTTCCGCCACTCTCTTACTGAACAGGAGCTGCGACACCAGCATGTTTGATCCAAAATTCTGGACTGGTTGGCCCAATTATTAATTTGAATTTGGAGAACTTTCTTGACTGTGGCACAAAAATTGTATCTTATTTACCACTTGCTTGATCATAAGACAATTCCACCTTTTCCCTAGCCGTTAGAGCCCTATTCTTCTAAAAATTCATTTTTTTTAAAACTCATTTTCAAACCTACATTTTTTAATAAAATAATATTACACGTAAATTCAAAAATTTTCCTTAATTTTTAACCACACGTTCTTCATCAATTTACTATTCAAAATACATTCTTTCGCTCAAAATGAGGTTCAAACAAGGGCTTAGACTTCGACATTTTTGAAAGGATTGGTGAGATTATTTGTTAAAATTCCGTCAATGCACAATATTGTTGTCAAATAATAAAGAGCGAGTAAATTATCATCCTCATGTCATGTGTACTAAGTATCTAATATACTTCAAATTAAATCTAATTTTATTTGATTAACAAAATTAGATGGATTTTATATTTACAACCTAAAATATATAACTAAATATATTAATCTAACTAATTAATGTATATAGATATATCTTTATCTCATATCGAATTTTACAATGATTGTTAATAAGTGCTAATTCTCTATTCATTCTCGCTAATGTCAATAGAAATCACAAACAATTCAATTAGTAATCAATTAATCGAAAATGTATTAAACTTCTAGCAATCATTCAAGACCAAACACGTGCATTCAATGTCAAAATTCGAAAATATATAATGAAATATCAAAATATAGAGTTTGACTTCATACTCACATCTATACAATTAGTCAAGTATCATATTAATTATAAAAACATAATTGAATCGATACAACATCACTTGGAATTAATGTTTGGAAAGAAGACAGAAATAAATCTTGAAATTCTTGAACCTCTTCGATGGTACCTCGATCACTCTCTTTTAATTTTTCTTCTTCTTCAACACAGTCAATAAATGTATGAAATTGATATATGGATGTGTCTTGCAACAAAACTTCTATGAAGTTTGTAAAAAATAAGGAACTGTTCATCGAAAGCTTGCCCTTTGGCTCTCTTCATTGCAAGAATTGTATTTTTGTATCCCAAAGCCTCTCTTGGCTTGAATGTTGTATGTTACTTCTCAATAAGAGGTTAAGTGAGATTAGGAAACAAAGTCGGACTATCCAATATTGGCCGGGCAATGGTCCATGATCGCATTGCAAAAGATTTTACTTTCTGTTGCTGAGTTTTCTTACCATGCGATTGTAAGGACTTGTGTCTTGTGATTTCAATGGAGGTACATGTTGGAGAATATAAGAGCAAGGGACTGGACAAAGCCCTAAATGTACAAATAACCTTTAAGTGTGCAGGGGTGGCAAGGGGACGAATCGGGCTGGCCGAATCCTATGCCTCCATGCTTGGGCTGGTCATGCATGGTCATAAGCCCCCGTTTGACTCCCATTATTTCTCATTAAATTAAATTAAAATTTTCTCTTTCCTATTTTTAACCACACAATCTTTAATAAAATAATATTACACGTAAACCAAAAACTTTTCTTTTCTTTTCAATCACTCATTTTTCAAAAAAACACTATTCAAAATGTTATAATTTCCAAATAATGGGGCTCAAATGGGGGCTAATTAAGAATAACAACTGTTGATAAAAAGTTTAGGAATACGAATGTGCTGATGAAAGTTACGGATCTAAATGTAACAATGAATATAGGTGATGAACCTTTATGCAATAAAAATGATGCTTACAATAATTCAAGATTAAATTTTCTACGAGCCTAAGTAGGCATAGGCCAAAGCCTAGGTGTTAAATACCATAAAGTATGGGATTGATGACAAGATTGAGCTTCGCGTAAACATGAAGTCCGAATGACTTCTAAACGCACTTTTTAAAACAATGCTTATATGAGCTCATTTTTATTTGAAAGTCAAAAAAGGGGCAAAACCTAAATATAAAGTGGTAATTACGTCAAACCAAAATTTTTAAAATCCAATTTCAAAAATTAGATATAAAAGGGCCGTTTGAGCCCCATTCTTTGTAAATTATAATGAGATAAATAATATTTTTTTGAAAAATGAGTGGTTAAAAAATTTTTGATTTACGTGTAATATTATTTTATTGAAAATTATCTGATTAAAAATAAGAAAGAGAAAATTTTAATTTAATGTAATGAAAAATAATAGGGCTCAAACAGGGCAAAGTTTGTTTATACAAAAATTCGATATTAATTCAAATATTTAATATTACCACCAAAATTTATCACACACCCTGAGTACTCTCCACTCTCGTTTCTCTCACTACATCTCTCAGTACCCATCTCTCTCTCTCTCACACACACAGACACACTGCAATCAACATACCCTCTCCATACCCATCTCTCCATCTCACACATCACAGCAGTCGGTAGCTCGTTTCCAGCTGTTGTCTTCATCTTCTGTAAATAGCGTCAGGCATTGCAGCCCAGTTCTTTCGGATGCTGTTGCGAACTCCCGGTGTTTGGTTCTTCCAACATCCAGTTCCTAGCCGTCGTCTTCATCCGATTATCTAATTTTTGGATTTTATTTTCGGCGTTTTGTTGGTGGTGTTGGCGTGGTGTTTGGTTCTTTCAGCATCCCGTTCTCTGATATTTAGTGTTTGGTATCTGGTTGGTGGTAGTTGTGATGTTAGCTACTACGGCGAGGTGGTGGTGTTGTTGGCAGCCTGGTGACTTCGTGGTGCTATTGGTGGTACTCGTGGTGGTAATGATGCGGCCTTGTGGTTGTTGCGAAGTCGCAACATGGTTGTGCGATAACGTTATTTTGGATTTGATTTTTTGGTGATGTTTGGGTGGTGACAGTTGTGACGTTGATTGTGGTGGTGATGTTGGTGGTCTAGTGAAGTGGTGATGATGTTAGTGGTGGTAGTGGTTGTGGAGGCGAGGGAGAGGTCGAACGTAGGATGGAATGGGATGGAGTAGGGTGCTTGTGACCATTTATTTGGTTGATTGACCAATAAATTGGTTAATTTTGTGATCAGTAAATGATACTTGACTTCAAAAAATGTGATTTTGACTCACAATTTAATAAATTGTGACTTATAAAATTTATGATTTATAATCGATAAATAAATTTTGATCTATAATTTTTTTTAAAATTTTGTGATCGATGAATAAATTATAATCTATAAATTTTTTTTATTTGTAATCAAATAATAAGTTGTTACTAATTAATTTGATATATATAATTAAAAAATAAGTTGTGACCTATAAATATGTAATTATGATCATAAATTGTATGATTGTGATCTTAATATATTTAGTTAGTAAAATACATTTTTAGTTAATTATTTCATAATTTTTTTTAATTAATATATGATTTTTGAAATTTTAAACTTTATTTCTTATTTTTGACATAAGTACAATTAATTTTGAAATTTTCCCAAATTTCAAACGATAGGAGGCTAGAGGTCAGTGGGCCTACCGCTTCAGGCACATTTCATTTCATATCACAATCACAATTTTTTAACTACACATTTCACAACTTTTATCAAAATTCGTTAAAAATCTAAATTTAATCTCTACAAAACAAACCATACGTCATTTTGAAAATAATAATAATAATAAATAAAATTAAACACTATTCACGCTTATCTGTGGGAACTCAACTCATAAGAAGCCACCATATTTTTGTACATCTCATACACCAATCTGTTCTCAAATTCAGTTCTTGAATAACCATTTGGAATCTGTCGAGCTTTGGGGATTCTTTTCGAACCCAGAAGGTTAATACCAGAGCCTGTATTTCTTGCCAGCCTAAGCATCATGTTCATATATGCATTCTTCAACTTGCACCACAATTTCAATGGCGAACTGAACTTCAGACGAAGTCTTCGGTGTATTTTAATCCGCCATGAACGCTTTTCTTTGCTTCCTGCCCCAAGCCTAATTGTGTTTCCAGTGGATAATCTGGTGTAGGTGTAACCATTTTTTCTCCTTGTTTTGTTGTTGAAGCTCCCATTTGATGAACTTGGAATCATCTCCATTGATATCAAATGAATCTCTGTTTGCGCGCGCGTTGGTGTTAGAGAGAGAGAGAGATTTTGGAGATAATTGGTGCTGAAGTAGAAGTGAAGATTTATACACAATAATATTGTGGAAATTGTAATATTTGGTCCCACCGAATTGTTTAGGTAGTAAGTTGGTTTGTAACTTTTAAAATGAGTAAATAAGTCTTCGACTATCGAAATTATAATTACATAAATACTCCTTCCGTTCTAATTATATGGGTTGAGTTTTCTTTTTCTCGTCTCAAATATATAGGTCTGTTTCCCAATTTATAATATTTTGTTTTGTTCCTTTACCAACATACTCTTATTCAATTTTTTCACTTAATATGTCAACTTCTTGAAATCATATGAATGACTCGATCAATGATATGACTTTCAAATTCAAAATCTCAAATAGATTAATTTATTATAATTTCTTTTGGCTGAACACTGCATCTTTTTGTTCAAATGGTTAATACATTCTTTTTGTTTGGAAAAAATTGAGTTTACAAAATAATTTAGATTTATCGGTTAAATAAAATTGAAATTCTTGACAAAGCAAAAGTAGCCAACCACAATAAATTATGACATTATTTTATAATTTATATTTTTGTTGACCAATTGAGTCCTATAATCCTGAGTTATGTTAAACTTATAAATGGGATTGACAAAGTTGAATGACAAAATTACATCTACACCAGTCATTTCAAGAACAGGTTTTTAAATTATTTGAAATCAATAACATGAATTTTGTCAACACACTTTGTAACCCAATTTCGTACAAATAACTTTATTGTAGAATCCCAGTAGTAGATAGAGGACCCCGTGACTTAATTTTAAGGGAGACAAAATTCAGAATAATGTTATGGAAAAGGCCCCTCGTACAAGGTCCTGTATACAAGGGGGGTGAGCTGGTCCCCTGGGATTGGTTGGGGCTGATTTTTGTTATCTACTCTTGACAGAGTTGTACCTACTGCATTTATGATTCAAAGATTTCACATGGTACCTCAACGTTTTTCACAAGAGATATGATTGGTGTACACGCAACGATTCACAAAATCCCTACCTACACCTTACATGGGGCGGGCGGGTTAATTTTTTGACATTATTTATTTATGTCGAGCCATAGCTTTGTGAGTTTTCTGTAATTATTATGTAAAAATCCACTTGTACACCAATCATTATACTTTTCACAAACAATAGATTTCTAGACCTTTGAGAACAAACGAGATAAACGATGAAGAGGTTTTGTTCATTAAATTATTGTCTTGAATGTCACATTACTAAGTTAGGATTGATTTAAGAATGAAGCCATTTAGCCAGACTTAGAAGAGGGAAAAAAAGAAAAAGAAAAAAGGAGACAGATTGATTTGGTAGCAAATGATTGATGTTTTTTTATTTTAATTTTTCAAACTGTCCAATTACGCGTCGACACTTGTCTCATCTATTTTTGAACATGTATGTGTAGCATGATCGTTGATTTAACGAGAAACAAGTGTTCATTACGTATTTCTTGCATCAAGTGAAATTCCTATTAAATTTTGTATGATTTCTAATTAAATTGCTAAATCGAAATAATACGAAGTTAAATTTTTAAATAATTTAAAAATCAACTTTTACATGCTTCTTTAAAGAGTATAGATAAGACACTGTAATTAAAAGAAGTTTGAGATCCATTATCGAGAGGTACAAAGTGATGGTTTTACGAACTTTTCAGTCATGGTAAAACTTGAATACTGGTAAGTGTTTACTATAAGAAAAATGGTTCACTTTAAAATGAAAATTAAATATTTCTTAAGTCAAAATTTTAAAAATAATAAATAAATTTAACACAATATAAAGATCAAAGTACATACATATAAAATTTTGAGCAACGAGGGCCATAATTTGGTAGACTTTTTATCGCAAAGACTAGTGATTTACTCTATTGTCGGTTCTTCCATGCATTCGCTAGTCAAAAGTATCAATATGACACTGACACGATCATAAAGACGACTCAACTTTGATCAAGGCCATGGGCCCCCCAATATGGTTCGACCTTAACTGAGGTTGAGGAGCCAAGGAGGTCTAGAGCTCGAACTTGGTCGAGGTCAGGCAGCCGAAGAAGGGCTCATGCACAAACATTTCTCTTGCTTATGCATGCTAACGGATATAACAAAAGGGCGACATCACTTCCTATAATTTCTCTGTATTCTCCCGAATAGATAAGACCATGTGTCCCTCCGTATATAAATTCTCATGTCATGTTATCGAGGTAAATGTCTATTTATAGATGGTGGAAGTCTCGGTAATATCTAATGCATCTTTTATATGTCTCTAGCCTTTACGCATAAACGACTTTTTTTTTTCTTTCATAATTTTGTGGGCATTGAAGTTGGAACATAACCCCGCTACCTTTGCAGGTGTTGAAGTCGTCGAGCACTTCTTATTGCTTATCGAGGACTAGAGAAAGTTGGACCAATATCACAAAATATGTTAATAAAGTTTTCATTTGTTATCATCAGCCGGTGGTGAGGGTACAAAAGAAAACAACTCGAGATGGACATGATATGGTTCAATTTACTTTCAATAAAAGGTTGGGTGGAAATAGGTCATAGTAAAAATTGTTTTGCAATTTATGTCACTCATTGAAGATTGACAATATTGGTCTTATAACAAATGGAGTGGCTTATGTGTTGGATGTAGGTAGAAAGAAGTAATGTCAAGATAGTATCAGAATAAGACACGAACATGGACCCGAGCCCATGCCAAGTCAATGGAATTGCAACGCATGCATGGGCTTAGGATCGAATTCTTTAGGATATAAGTCCCTACTTTCCAAAGACTAGTGGTACCTTTTAGGACACAAACCCAATTGTCACAAAAATTTCTAAGGTTTCGTATGTGGCACAAGAGTTTAACAATTTCCAATTAAATCAATTTTTTTCTTATTTAAAGTTTCAAGTGGGTAACTTTGAAATCAAATATTTTATTCAATTCTAAATAATTTTCAATAAAAAAAAATATCATTACTTCATGAATAGAACATGAATATGCTTGATCCCCTTAACAATGAAGTACACATCCCATTGGAGCCCAAAGTTGACCCATTACACAATTTATTTTTGAATCAATATTTTAAAAAATAGATTGAAATCTTCATACATGTTTAACATTTGCCTCATTATTCCTTCCACTGAAAAACTTAACTAAATTTGGCAGTACCTTTCTTCTCCCCCTGACTGTGAAAGATGTCGATCTAGGTACATTACGAACCATAGGAGATGCTGATATTCGATGTTTTCCTCGTCTTGCAGGAGTTCTTTTTCCACTTCTGTTCATTGATTTTCTGGAAAGTCCAATTTCAGGCTGCAAGTGTTCAGCCTCATACTTTTTCCTCCTGTTTTGTAATTCCTCCTCGATTATTTCCTTCGCGTGAAGTGATTTTTCTGTTACATTAACCGCTCGATCTTCCTCGACCTTTAGTTCTCGAGTTTCTCTTCGAGCTAACTCCATTTTGATACGTATTTCCTTTTCACTTGCTTTTAGAGCTTCGACCCATGCCTCAGCAGCTGCAACTTTTTTATCTGCGATTTCCTTAGCGCCAGATGCATGTCCCGTTAAGTAGTCGTATTCTAACTTTGAGATGGTTATTGTTGACTTATCCCGCGAAGCTGAAGCTCTGTCACTCATTGTCTTCTCAATAATTGACTCGAGATTCTGAAGTGCTATGGCTTCTGATGATTTAGCTGTTTTCAGTTCTTGTATAACGATCTGTAATCTTTCTTCAGCCAAATCTATTTCAGTATCGGTCTTTTGAATTTCGGCTTTGGTTATTGCAGTTTCTTCGTTAATGAGAAAGAGTTCACGTTTAGCTGATTCTGTTTCTGTTTTTAACTGGTCAAGAGTATGAGACAGACTTGAAGCAGTTGATTTAGCCTGGTCTTCATCAGTGGACACTGCTTCCAATTTTTCTTTAGCCCTCAAAAGCTTTGAATTCAGATTCTGAACCGTCCGGTCTGCTTTTTCTTCTTTTCTCCTTAGTCGAGCTGATTCTTCTGCCACATGTTTGAGCTCGTCTCGTACAATATCCATGGATGACATGAATTGAAAACTTTCTTCTTTAACTAAAGCTAATTCTTTCTTTGTTGCCTCGAACTCATCCTCGATGGACTCCAATGCAAGGCGAGACTCGGGGGATCTTTGTAATCTCTTGTCCATTTCCTTCATTTCCTTTACATTCTCTAACATTTTGATATCAGACACTGTAATAGCTAATTTTTCTTCTAACTGTTCTGAATATTCAATTTCTTGAATCATTTCATTCATTTTCTTCCTGCTTTCCACCATTGCATTTGAGTGTTTTTTGGCAGCTTCTTTCTTCTGGGCTTCAATTTCTTCGTATTCTTTAAGGGCCTCAATTCGTGCCAACTCGACTAGCACGTTTTCTTCATTGATTTCCTCGATCTCCTTGGTGAGTGATTCGACTGAACTCGAATAAGAAGTCATTTTAGACACAGAGGATTCTGTTTCCTTCTCGGCTCTTCTTTTTTCGTCTAAAATCCTAGCCATGTCTAGCTTGAGCTTACTCAATTCTCGTTTAACAGATCTCAATTCTCTCAACACTTTTGCAAGCTGGGAATTCTCATTGTTTTTTCCTCCTTCACTTTCTTCCCTCATTTTCAGTTTCTCCATTGGTCCCAGCTGTGGTTTTGCACGTAAATTCGATTCCTTGATTGCTGAATTAAGGCTTTTTGCCGTCTTTTTCGCAGAAAAAAGCTCGGTTTCTGCTTGTGCTGTCGCTGACTCTGCAAGTTTTCTGCTCTCGTTGAGTTGGATCGTGTCCTGTCTCACCTGGTGAAGTTCTCTTGTCGGATACTGCTTCTAAAAGTATGCAAAATGTACCGTTAGACATGAAAAAAATGTCGAAAATTAGAGAAATGCAGACAAAAAGAAGGCCTAAAAAATTCTTTACAATACCTCTGAATAATTATTTTGCAATTTCTTTACTACAGAATTTCCTTCTGTAATTCTTTCTCCATGAGAATCAATAACTACTTTCACTGAGCCAATTCTCCTTTCTTGCAACCCTCCTGAATCCATTTCCGAAGGGTCGTGCTCGAATCAGTAGAAACCTGTTAGAAATTTTTTTGCCCATGTATAAATTTTAGGCTCTAAAAAACCATGTTTTTGCAGTCAAAAGACCAGAACTACAAGCTACATCAAAAGTGACTAACTTCTATGCAGTATTTCTTTTTAGCTCGATTAGCTCGTGATAATTTCGGGGCCATCGGCACAAAGCCTTTTTCTCGTTCGATCTACTACTGAATTCACTAACAAGACCGTGCTCGAATCAGGTGAATTCTGTGACAGAGTTTTCTGCCCGTGTGTGAATGTTAGGCAATCTAAATACCATGTTTTGCAGTCAAAAGACCAGAACTACATGCTAAAAACATAAAAAATGACAACTTCTATGCAATAACGCTTTTAAGATCGACTCGACTTGCTCATAATAATTTCGAGGCCATCTACACGAACCCTTTTTCTTGTTCGATCTACTACTGTATTTACTAAAAAATCATGCTCGAATCAGGAGAAATCTGTAACAAAGTTTTCTGCTCATGTGTGAATGTTAGGCAATCTATATACCATGTTTTGCAGTCAAATGACCAGAACTAAATGCTACAAACATCAAACGTCACAACTTTTGTGCAATAATGCTGCTAAGCTCGACGAACCATTTTCTCATTGCTCGAATCAGTTCAAATCTGTTAGAAATTTTTCTTCCTATGTATGTTATTGCAATCCAAAAACCAGAATTATATAGTACAGTATCAAAAGAATGTTGCTAAGCTCGATTTGGGATAATTTCAATGTTGTCTACTGACCTTTTTCTCGTCAATCTACTACCATACCTATTCAAAAAAACTCAACGAAATCAACTGATTTAACAAATCAAAAACGGGTCGAATATGTGTTGCAGAAATTATTACCTGAGATTTCTGCTTTAAATATAATTGGCATTAAAATTTCCTGTAACCTGGAATTCATTGATCATCAGCCTTATAAGTTCAATAAGAAAACCATGGAGTATTTGATAAAACAGGAGGGATATGGCTCCTGATGATTGGCTCTTATTGGTTGTATCACCAGCCATTGGAATTCTTCCCCGTGGACCCCAACAAAAATTGTTGTATTGGTAAAAAGGGGGGAAAAAATAAAATTCCTTGGAATGTTACACCCGACAATAACATTTTTCTTAACTATAACTCCTCGTAGTTTTAGTCGCCTTGATTTATCTTTAACTATTGTCTTGATCAAGGTTAAGGATCGTTTATGCGTAAAACATGTATTTCTTTTCTAGCTAATATGAAGTTAAAAGACTAATATTCGCTAGATGTGATTTAATAAATAAATAGATGTTGATCAGGTCATCATTCTGGTTGAAGATTTGCTCTATGCAACAAGGGATTAAGTCTGTGTCTATTTAGAATAGGAAGCGTTGTTTTTATAAAGACGAAGAACGAAATTTTCTATTTTCCCACTTATTTACTATGGCGACAAAGAATCAGATCCAACTTGATATTTTCAAATTTCAAGAAATTTATTTTTCTTTCAAGAAGTATATTCATAGTTAAGATAAAAAATAGAACTTAGCTAAAAATGTCCATGAAGTATCTTCCAAAAAATGTACGTTAAGATTTAGATAAAAGATTACATAATCTTCACATAACATTCTATCATTTGCCAGTTTAAAATACAATAATTTTTTTATCCATTCTTTTCTCTCCACATCATTTTCGATAATCACTTATGTATCATTTTTATGTACAAATAGCAAAATCCTAAAGAATAACAAGTATGAAACTAAGATCTTCTAAAATTTGCATATTATAGTAGTTTGTTCCATCCCGAGACATAAAAACAGACAAGAATAATCAAACTCACTAAAGGACTCGTTGTACAAATAAAGAATTTGTGTTGGAAGGTGTTGAGAAAGAATTGAAAAGGAATAAGATCTTCATATTAAAAAAAAGTTCTCTATTGATTCAAACATTTTACTTATGGCATATGGATGGAGAAAGAGAAAAAAATCAAAGATTTCAATAATATTTTTGATCGAAAAATTACTTCGAATGATTTTATACCCTTGTTCAACCAAAAAATTGGTGAAAAGTCTCTAATAGTGAAAATAAATAAATAAAAATTCATGACGGTTAAGTCAATATTTGAATGAGTAATACTTATAAAGAAGATGTTGGTATCAAGATACAAAAGCAAAAGTAAGAAAAATAAATTTGTCACATCATAGAGAGTTAGGTGGCTGGACAAATTTTGTCCTCGTCAAAGGTGAAAGCTCTGCCACGTTGTCAAACCTAAAACCATTGAGACAAAATTCTTCTCGTCATGTAACGATTTCTTCGTGCAGGATATACTTTATAAATTTTATGAAATTCACAGTAAGGACTGAGCCGTGTGCACAGTATAAAACACAGGTTGATTCACAATATCCTCACATCGAGGGCTCGTGCCAATAAAAAAATGGCGCGAGCCTCACAGTACAATGAGGATGCTGTACAAATAGCATCATCCTTCATAGTAATATATATACATGTATATTGTAGAACTTACAATGTATGAGCACTTAAATACACTATTAAGAGGTTGTTTAAGCTCCTTTTTTTTAAAAAAAAAAAATGCATTTTAAAATAGTATTATGTTGAAGAATGTGCGGCTAAAAATACGGAGAAAAGTTTTGATTTACGTATAATATTATTTTATTAAAAAAGTGTGGTTAAAACGAGATTAAATCACTATTAAAGAATAGATTTTGATTGAAAAAGGGGCTCAAACAAGGGCTAAGTATATCCCAACACTTTGAGGGTTGATACTGAAAAATGACGAGATCGAAAGTGACAAATTAATCTAAATTTTATTTTAATGGTTGTAAAGTGGTACAGGTCATCTCTAAATCGATTATTGTAGTAGATATAGTTATTTAAATTATTTTTGTTTTGGATGAATTAGAAATTAAAATGGCTTTTTTGCAATTTTTGTCCCTACTGTATACATTCCTTGTGGATTTAGGACCTATTGTTTGAGTTTGGCAATAGCGTCCACATATCAACGTTTCATTTGCAGAAATGCTCCATTCCATCTCAAATGGCCGTTAAAATGTCACATGGAAGATCACTAATTTCAATTAATGATCATCAACCAAATAAAAAAAAATAAATAAAAATCTTGATGCTATTTGCTCCCACTAAGTTCACTCTAAAAAGTTTCAAAAGCTCCTCAAAAGACAATTTGCCCCTCTCTAATTCCGTAAAGGAAAAACTCCGATTTATACACGGGAGAAAAATGCGAATTCGCATTCCAAATAGTTAAATATTAAAAATATACCCAAGAAGGGATAACCATCATACCCTAGTGTGACATTTCATGTCACCCAAAGAGTACGAAGCGATGCTATTGCCATTCAAAACTTGAAAGAATGTGCTTGAGTCCTCTCATAAGCACGTAGCGTATGATAACAATCAATGCATATCGTCAACCTGTCAAAGTACATGAATCTCACCCTCAACTAATTGACGGCTTATCATCGAGAGTGTGGAACTAAGGATATTGCTAGGTTTGGTAGTTTTAGGCTAGTTCAAGACAAGTTCGATCTCCTAGATCGGATATAAATTATCATTCGAGAAGTCCCTCTCAGGTATAGACGAGATATGGTACTAGAAAGCCATGATTTAACTTTTCACAATCATATGGAGTTTTCCTCGAGTACCTTGGGTCATGAAAGTATCTACCAATTCACCTCAATGAGCCTACCAGAAGCAATCCCTTGACAAGCCAATTAGATGAATTAAGAAGTGGTTAATCATTTGACACAAGGATCAATTAGTAAATGACCGATGATAAGCGAACCAAATTAGTTATTCAGTGCGTCGTTCACACCTAGAGAGCTCTAGGGTAGTGATTATGAGAATTGATTTTTTGACCGTTAGAAAGAAAAGTGAGTCTCACTTGTGAGTGAAGAAGTCAAAAATGATGACTGATATAGTGAAATAACAGTCAAAAAATTGATTTTTTGTAGTGAAAAATTGCTACCAAACGGGGGCCTAGATTGATTATTCAAATGTTCAAGTCCTTTCTATAATTCCCACAAAAATCCAAGGAATCATAGGACACCTGACTAAGGCCCCGTTTGGGAGGGATTTTAAGAATTAATTTTTTGATCATTAGAAGAAAAGTGGGGTCCATCTGTGAGAGAAGAAATAAAAAATTACAGCTACAATAGTGAAATAATGGTCAAAAAATCAATTTTTTTGGACAAAAAATCCCTCCCATACAAGCTGTAAATTGCTCATTGCCTTTCAATTCCACACCAGCTTATCCCAAGGTCTATTTAAAGGGGGTCCCTCCCCAAAATTAAAAAGTTTTCAAACATTTTATATACCATATATTATTGCTACAACTATGCTATGTTGTCAGAAAATGGTCGGCATGCAACCTGACTGATACTCACAATGGAGGGCCACTGTTTTTGAACTTTTTTATTCACGCGGATGTGAGAGAATATCAACCAAGTTGACAAAAAAATTCTTGCAAGCCAGCTTAATTCTTATTGCTATATTCACTCATGATTTTGCTCCCAAAATTTTCAAGTAATAGATTCTCACACTAGAAGGGAATTAGGACTGAGACGTCCACTTTTCTAGGACATAGCATATCACTTTACCACGTTGATTAGGATCAACAAAAAAATCTGTAAGCATCTCTATCGACTGGAAAATTAAACATCCAACCCCACTCATTCCCATAAGCCCTGCTTTGCCTCATCATGTCTAAGCTGATAATTTGCAAGTGGGTGGCGGGAGGGGCAATGAAGAGAAATGTGAAGATTTTTAACTTTTTATTTGATCATATACAACAAATTAAAATTTTAACTCTTTTCGAACTTCACTAATTTGAGTGGACACACCCACTTGCGAACATTATCGACATATTGGTTAAGCCGGATTAGACAACACATGTTGTATTAAACAAGATAAAACATGAAACTTTAGAAAGGCTATCACAAAAAAAAATAAAATAAAATTTAATATTGTACTCTTTAAGGCGAAGCTTATGAGAATCATAAGCGATCTCAAGGCAAGGTGTGTTCGGCAAAAAAGTACGTAAAAATTTTACGTTCGAAAAATAGAGCTTGATTAAATTATAACCTATTATAAATTTCCCCAATCATGGACTTAAAAGAGTTTAGTGGGTTTTAATTAGGACTAGATATGGTCCGTTTCAATTTGGTTCTTTGGTTCTGAAGAGAATCGAATTGAATTTAAATTTTCGGGTATTTAGTAAGTGAAATCGTCGAGTTCTAAATTAATTATGGAACTATTTGGATTCGGTTTGATTTATTTCGATTCGGCTCCAGAGTTTCATGCAATAATTAATTTTTTTATATTTAAAACAACGCTATATTAATTCAAATATGACATGTTCAATTTTAGTTATTACAAAATAATGTAGTCTAATCTCACGATATATTTTGTGCATCTCTTTGTTGAGTTCTTCATATATTTGACTTTTAAAATCACAAGAATAGAAAAATAACGAGCTCATAATAATAAAGAGAGGCACAATCGAGCTTCCAATTCTATTTCTCCATAATGGTAGAAACTATAGAATAAGAGATTTGGATAAAACTTAAGTCAATTTGATTAAGTTAAGCATGGTTGCAAATTAGAAATAGGAAAATCAAATTTTGGATTTGAGCTAATTAGTTAGCCAATTTATTTTTTAAATAATTTAGCTTATTTAAAATAAAAAATTGAAAACACTTGGAAGATTCAATTCTTATTTGATTCTGAATTGAGATACCCATTTTGATATTTAACTTAAAAAAATCGTTCTGTTTGATTCAATATGAAAGTTTTGTCTAGCACTAATTTTAACTTTCTATTACAAGATTTTCTTGAAAAGTAAAACAGTGAAAGATCCTACTAGAAGAAAAGATAGCTGTGATTGAACAGACTACAATATATAATAAATAGGAAAAAGGGAGACCCTTGTCAAGAATGGGATTCGAACCCATGCCCTTTCGGACCAGTACCTGAAACTGGCGCCTTAGACCAACTCGGCCATCTTAACAATTTGTTTTGATGGTTGATATTATTTTATTTATTACTTTGTTTCCCGGAATTTCTGCTATTATACGATGAATTCTCCACGTGATTAGAAATTTAATAATAATAAATTGTATTGAGTATTTTTCATTCACAACTCTATTTAACTTTAATGTACATTAAAATTAAATAGAATATAACTGTGAATGTTGTAATGTACATTAATCACAACGTACATTAAAGTTAAATGGAATTGTGAATGTAAAATACGTGTGAATTTATAGTGTTTAAATAAATGAATTTAATAAGGAAAAATATTAAAATATGACATGAATGAAAATAGTAATTTTTAAAATTTTAATAAAGATGAATATAGGACGGGATGAATATATTTTAAAATAACGCGTTCCGGTATTCCATAGTCTCAATATCCAATGAGATCAAAAATTTATCATATGCAAAAGCGTAATGCTGAAAATAATGTACATGCGATATACACTTCAATAGGCTTTGCAAAATTATTTTTGCAACAAATAATATGTCCTTCATTTTTCAATTGCATAAGCTGTGAACTTTGCCTAAGCCTATCCTAACCACCACAATAGCACTTACGAAACAATTTTATAAAGAATCGACTGTAATTGAATTAGAGATCAACATATGAATAGTAGTTGATTGTGCATATTAAGAAAAATACTTTATCAAATTTGCTGATCTCGATATTCGACAGATTATGTTGTTATCAAATCGTAGCTCCTCTCATATCCAAGTATACGTTATCTACGTGCACACTTGAATATTGTATGTCACATTAGCTCAGACACTCAAATAAGATGATTGGAGATTTTGGTGTGGGAGCGACAATGGAATGAAAGAGTGTATTACCAAGAATGAGAGAGTAATGATGGACTTATCCTCACAACCATTGGTCAAGCTCAACTTTATCAAACCTAGAATGTCATAAGCATGCGGTCATTTGATTGTAAGATGAAAAACAGTCATCCTTGGCATGTTGCTGTTATAGGCATGCACATAGTGAAAATTGGTTGATCGACACTGTTGTAGAGCTATCAAATTGTCAGATGTACGACATATCTTGGCTGAGGTGAGGCTTGTGGAAAATGCATGTCATAGAAGATGTTTATCACCTCCAGATGCAATGCATCAAGAGGTGACACCTTGTCTTGAAAACAACACTCAGAACGAGGTGTCCAAGGTGGAGAAAAAATGATGTTGGCTTCGTGCACATAAGATGAGTATGAAAATACAATTATTTATTAAAATTGGTGAATCTAGTTATTGGAAGAAGTACGAATTCGGGGAGTGAGAGAAGTTGGGAGGCAAAAGGTGCAAGGACAAAGTCGTGTAAATAGAGCAAAAAATGGAGTTAAAAAAACTAAAAATTCAAAAATTTCGACGGGATTAGGTGACCCCACATGTTCCCATGTATCCACCCATAAAGGAAGTGTTGCGGAAGCTCTCTCAAAAGATCTTCAAACGGTGGTTTTCCAGACTCAGTCCAACGTACCTTTCTCTACCAACAACTAATCCAAACGGCTCCAAACCACAACCAATTGATTCACCTTGGTTGCTATACAATCTTACCCACGTAGGACAAGAAAGAATGATGATTTATCGCCACAAAGGCTAGGAGAAGACACCACAAAGGTATACTATGAAAGAACCACCAATTGCACACGTTATACCAACGTTCTGGACACCCTTTTTCTCACACAAAAGGGGGCAGCCGGGATTCTCTTGTTTCTTCTCTCAAAATCACTCAATTATCATCACAAAGAGGTTAGGGTTATATTCATATATATGCTCTAGGGTTAGGCTTTAAGTTGGGCCATTAAAGGGGTAAACGGGCCAAGATTCAAGCCATCCATAAGGAATACAATTGGGCCGGGTGTAGCTCATGGATTTGGTTGTTGGACTTATTTCATTCATCGACCTATGCCTATGAAATAATATTAACCCACGTTAACATCATAGCCCGGGATTTATTGGGTATCAAAAACCCAACAGGAAAGTCGTTTAATTTAGTATTTTTTTGTCAATTCTATGCTCGTATAGAAGCAGTGTACGCTGTCAGAATTAATACAAATGTTGTTGGCAGTATTTGTTTGGTTTGTCTTTTTTATTTTTTTTATCATTGTCCAATAGAAAACTGTCAAATGTTATCTTTGTTAATTATGGCAGCATATTTTCTATATAAAATAGTATATTCTTTTTATATAAAGAAGTGTTGTCCCACAAAATGTTACGACACTTGCATTGTTTTAGTAAGTAAATTAGATATTAATGAATAATATGAAAGATTGCTAAATATACCATTTATTCCTATTTTATTGATATTATGTATTAAACATATCTTTATCTAATTAAATTTGCAAATATTGTTTCTTTAAACAATAAGTTAAAATAAGCTTCAATAAATTATTTTTATTATATTAGTATGAGAGGAAATATAATATTGAATTAGAGGCTCGAGAGAATGACGTGAGAGGGTAGGTATGACTATATTTCTCGGATTGAACTACGTTAAAATACGAAATACATGAATATAAATTATGCTTTGGAGTGAAAGATGATACCGAATCTGCTTTGCCTACAAACAGGGAAGCTATAAGTAATGCAACTATAAATCTAATGGATTTAAAGCTTATTAAATGATTTAAAGGCCAATTATGATCTAGGACAAACGAATGGTTAACCGCTACCATTATTTTTAAAAAAAAAAAAATTAAATAAAATACCATTATTTAAAAAGAAGAAGAAGAAGAAGAAGAATTAAATAAAATCCCATGGTTACATTGTCTTTATTAAACAAAATTAAATATCAGTTATATTGTACTAAAAAGAAGAATTAAATACAATCCCGTGGTTAAAATACACTTTAATTCCTAATTCAAGTTTCTATTATTAATTATTAAAGCATATGAACTCAAGCAAAATTTAGGTGTAACCATTTTGAGATGCCAAATAAGTATGATCTTCATAGTGATTACTGGTTAATATATAATATCACAATATTATAAATTAAAATACTTATTAATACTATATGGAATACTATATTACTCAATGGTTAATATTAAATATTATTATTAGTGTATGATGATGTTTAATAAAAAATACTATTATTCATGTTAACTCCAATTTACTAAATATACCATAATAATATACTACTATACATTAAAGAAAAATGTATCTCATAAGTTGTAAGTTTTGCTCAAAATCTATCATGCCAAATATATGAAATAAACTTGTTTGTTTAGCTATCATTTTATCCGTACCCATAAATAAATAAATAAATAAATCGACATAATAGGTTTGATTTGAGGCTTGATATCCGTGAAATGAACTATAGACGTTAAAAGTCAGCGTTCGAATTAAGGTTATATAATTTGATGTGGATGTTTTGATAATATATTTTGTGAAAGTGATTTTTAAGAGAATGTGTGGTTAAAAATTAATGAAAAATTAGATTCACGTGCAAAATTATTTTATCGGAAGAATGTGTGATTAAAAATGATTTTCAGAAAAAATAAAATTTAAAGAATATGTAACCAAAAAAAATAATTAACTAATGATTTATCGAATTGACAAGTGGCGGCTCCCTCTTAAAGGGGTGGCTGTCATTTGGTACTTGTAGCATAACCCCTTTAGATAATGAGAGGCAGAATGTGATCAAATTTCATGTTGTCGTCAGCATGAGATGTGCAACCGATATCAATACATTCAACTGAAAACATTTCACAATCTCAAGCAAACTTAAGAAGGAAAAAAAACTGTTTTGGCAATCATATGATGCAACAAATAAATCAAAGTGTAAGAGTTAAGGAAAGTTAGATCAAATGTCAGAAATCAACTTGATTCATGCTCGAAGTATATAATTTTTTGACAAAAAAAAAATTTACAGACAACACATAGCACGATATCATTGGAAGATAGGAAAAAAAATGAAAAACAGTTCATTTACATTTTGTCACATCAACGTCGGTACAAGTTATGTTAAATTTTCCTATACTTATGACTTTATTAAATCAACTTAGGTCAAATTAAATATTTTATGTACAAAGTCATATGGTTTTGTATTTGGGTTATAAATACTTTGTTGATTTTAAAATGTGACAATTAAGCTACCGAATTTTATTTTATTTATTTATTTATTTTTTAGCATAGATGATCATCAAATTTACAAAATAGTTTTATCGTGTCTTTATTTATGGATGCCTTCGTCAATTTAATTGATTTGGTGATGTATTTGATGGCTAAATTTATTTGACCGATGGTATTGATGAGATTATGTTAATTAACCAAAAAAATGTTATTTTCACACGTAATTTTAATTTTCAGATTACTCATTTTTGCTTTATATATTTATGGTTAGTGCTATTTCACCAAAGCCATCAACCACATACCAAACATCTCGACAAAACGGTTAAATTTATTAATGCATATATGAAGAATGACTTAATTAAGATGCATATGTAATTTCTGATACTATCAATGCTGAACAAATTAGTGACTAAAATGATAAAGGTTCGACCAAATGGTTTGAAATTGATCGTACATAGTTTTGCAATAGTCGTGGAATATGAATTTTCACCATTCGACTCAATTTCACAAAATTTCTTCTCAAAAATAAATTAACTGTTATGTATGTATATGTGTGTGTGTGCGCGCACGCACGCACGCACACATCTATACATGTGAGTGTATATATATATATAAACTAGCCTTTGTTCACAAAAAAATGAGATAAGAGTTGTAGTTTAAATTTTGTAAAGCTCATTAGTGGAGGAAATGGGATCCACACGCCATTAATAAGAAAATTGCAAAAAGAAAAAAAAAAAAGTAATAAGTTGTCACACACGCACACGACTTGTAGTTTAAATTTTGTAAAGTTCATTAGTGGAGGAAATGGGATCCACACGCCGTTAATAAGAAAATTGCAAAAAGAAAAAAAAAAAGTAATAAGTTGTCCCAAAATAAGTGAAAGTGAGAATGGAAGTGAACTGTATTTATGCTCTTTCCATCCATATCTTTACGTAAGTACATCGTCAACGCGGATTCAAGTCTTAAAATAATGAATATTGAATTCTCTCTCTCTCTCTCTCTCTTAACTTTCTCTCTCTACTTCTTGGATAGCCTTTATAAAGCCTACACAAACTCATACATTCTCCAACGAATTTCAAGAAATTCCACTCTACTGCCGGAGATTCAATATTTGCTTAAAATTTTTGTTTTTTTTTTTTGGGAAATTACTTATTTTCTCTTCATCCATTCTAAATCAATTCCTTTCTAATACTCAGGATTATTCTTGCTTAAATTTCTGCTTATTTTGGAAGAAAATTGCTTATTTCTTCAATGGGAAATTACATTTCCTGCACATTGTCATCGCCGGCGGGCAAGCATTCCGGCAGGGCTGCAAAGGTTATTTTTCCGGCTGGTGAAATCCGGAAATTCTACGAGCCCACGAAAGCTGCAGAACTAATGCTTGAATCACCAAATTCTTTCCTCGTAAACACAAAATCCCTTCAAATTGGGAGAAGATTTTCTGCACTAAATGCAGATGAAGACCTCGAAATGGCAAATGTTTATGTTATTTTTCCGATGAGGAGGTTGAATACTTCGGTGACAGCTTCCGACATGAGTGCACTGTTTTTAACAGCAAATTCATCTGCGAAACGGCCGGCGTCGATCGGAAATGTGAGAATCTTGCCTGAATGTAGTGAAAAACCGGTGCCGAAACTGAATTTGGATGATATTAAAGAATTTTCGACGCCGGAGTTTCAGCACCGGCTTTCCTTGTGCCGATCCAGGAAGCCATTGTTGGAGACCATAGTTGAAGAACCAGTTGGTTTAAGAATATAACAAAATTAATTAATTGATAGGAATAGATTTATTTTTTGAATTTCTCTTCAAATTTTAGCAAAAAGAGAGACATTGATTGGTTATTCTTTTTAGGGTTTGTGGTAAAAGGGACGCAGATTGCATTGTACATGAAAGATTTTGTGCATTTTTCTTTGAACAAATTTGTGTTTAGTATCTTTTGATCTACTTGTTTTTTCATTGGAGCTCTTGATCCGATTTTAATTGCAGAGGTCGTAGACAAGATCTAATCAACTTTTGATCTACATTTGAGTCAGAAAATGACAGTATAAAGAGTAATTCCAATCGAGATTTGTAAGCCTTCCATTACATAGATATGACCTTTTGTAGAAGAGTAGGTTAGTACGAGTAACCCTTCAAAGTGTTACTCGAGAATTAGCCCCCGTTTGATCCCCATTATATGAAAAAATTAATAAAATGAATTTCCCCCCCCCCCCCCCCCTGGCACAACACCATACTCCCTCTAGATCTTGCTCTCTTTTAATTCAAGGAATTTCAAACTTGAAAGTATTAAGATTTTTACCTTATCTGATAAGAGATAAGGTGAAATTTGTAAAGTTTCTCCTTTTGAGTTAAAATAAACATGAATTTGGGATTATAGATCTACAGTTCATTGGATGCTCTAATATCCATTGTCAAGATTTCTCTCCAGACAAAATTAGGAGAATATTTTCTTATTGAATCAAAAATTGAACTGGTTGTATATAGCCTTACAAGAATAATTGAAAGAGAGAATACTAAATTCCTGCGTACAGGGGAATTACAAACTTCTCACATGAAAAATAGAAGACTAAATCCCTGTGTATAGGAGAAATATTCATAGGGGAATTACAAACCTCTCACAAGGATCGGCCCCACATAGCGACCGGTGCAAAAAAATAAAAAATAAAAAAATAAAACCCAACCCCATTCATGTGAGACCCTTGTAAAGGGTTTGTAAGAGCTGGGTCTGGACGCCCAACTCGGTTGAAGATAGGAATGCAGTCCACGTTATACATACCTATTAACGTGTTAAATGACTAGGAAACAAACAACTTATTCCTAAAAAATAACAATAAACTAAAACAAATCCTAAAGACTCGATCAAACACTAACAATTAACAATTTCAACAATAAAAAGTTTAGTTGTCCTGTACCATTTCTATGTAACTTGGGTCATGTGCAAGTTGGCACTGTAATTAAGCTGAAGGTCCGCATGGCCCCTTGCATGTTTGGTATATGTTGAAATACATGATCCGACCCGTTTCACATTTTTACATCGGACTTTGATTTTCACTTTTTCAGGACCGCCAAATACATTAAAACTATATCCAACATCTTTCTTACACTACTAAAAAACAGCTTTTCATCTACGAAAAATTACCAACGGATTAGAAACGGATTATCCGTTGGTAAAAATAATTCACTTTTAGCTACGATAATTAGCAACGAATTTTCTATTGATAAAGATGATATCTCTTTACCAACCGATATTTCGTGTCTAATGTAATCGTTTAACATTTGGATCTTCCTCCAACGGATATTTCGTAGGTGATGTACCGAATATTACCAACGGATTATTCATTGGTAAAAGTAATTCACTTTTCCGTTGGTAATTAAAAATGAATTATCCATTGGTAAAAGTAATTCACTTTTAGCTACAATAATCAGCAACGAATTTTTCATTGATAAAGATGATATCTCTTTACCAACGGATATTCTGTGTCTAATATAATCGTTTAACATTTTTATCTTTTACCTACGGATATTTCGTTGGTAATTAAAAACAGATTATCCATTAGTAAAAATGATATTTCTTTACCAACGGATATTCTGTGCCTAATATAACCGTTTAATATTTTGATCTTTCAGCAACGGATATTCCGTTGGTAATGAGAAACGGATCATCTGTTGGTAAAAATAATTTACTTATCCCACATCGAAAGTTTACAACAATATCTTTGTAGTTGCCCTCTATAAATTTGTGATCCAATAAGGAGTTAAACAATATTTTGGCCTTTCAATTTAGTTGGCTAAAAATAAAAAATAAAAAATATTATAATTTACGGTTAAGACTTGTTATATATTTATGGTATAAATATAAAATGTGAAAGAAATAATCAAATTAGATAAAGTGTCAAAGTGGTGAGAAATGTGACATTTGTGTGGGACGTCAGGGGTTCGAGTCACTCTCCACGCATATATTAAAATGGGTAAAACTAGCCAGTATTTTCTAAATATTTGCTTTTGTAACAACCCACTAACAACCATTAAAACACTCACTACTCAGTCATTAAAATTCTGCATTAACATGGTGAAAATTGTTACTTCCATCTTGCCTATATAAACCCATATCTCGTTTTGGAAAAAATACACACAAAAAGAAAATAGAAAAATCATCTTGTATCAATCATCCTTTTCATATTCTGAATTTCTTATATTCGAGTTTTTACATTTGTTCTGGAGTACAATTGAGAGTTCTAGAAAAATCATTCGTAATTGTTGCACAAGTGGTTTACAATCGTTGTATCCTAGGAGTGATTGTTCATGGAGGTCGCAGTAATTATTGATGGACAATTTCAATTTAGGACATCGTGCTGTCACGAGACTCGATCGGACGATAAGTTTTATATTTCTGCATTATATTGTTCTGATCACTACTGCAACTAATTATTTTTTCCAACAAGACTTTTACCAACGAAAATTTCGTTGGTAAAATTCCGTTGGTAAAAGATTCACACTTTACCAACGGAAAATCCGTTGGTAAAATGTTTACTCTTTACCTACAGCATGATCTGTTGATAACTATCAGCGACCCTCAAATTACCAACGGATTTGTGGTTGCAAATATTCCGTTAGTGAAGATTATTAGCAACGGATATTGAGACTTTTGGAACGAAAAATCTGTGCCTGAAACTTTATTTTTTAGTAGTGTTATTTAGACTTCTACTACTTTTTTATTCACTAAATACTGACTTTTTCATAATCTTACAAACACATCTCCAAACAAACACTTTACCTTCTTCGTAACATCTCACCCCACTCCTTACATCGTGGATAATCTCTCTCTCTCTCTTTGAAAATTTGTTCAATTAGTCCTCAACCTTTAAGACCTCTTGAAAATTTCGTCCCAGCTTTTAAATCTAACTTTTATATTCTTATACTCTAGGTCCATTTATATATTTTGACCTTTTTACATAATTTCATTAACATTATTATTAATTTTTTCTTGTGCGAGATGCACGAACTAATTTTTGAAAGGGTAAAATTGGCAAGATGTACTCGACTTATTACTGGAGTTAGACTTGAGTTGAAGTCGAGGGCAGCCTTCTGGATCCACCCTAGACATGGGAGTTGAAACTTGATAAACACGAGCAATGTGGATAAGCTAGTGTCATGGAGTGTAACATAGCGATTTCATCTTAGTATGTTTTCGGGGGCATGTTTGATACGTATAAAAAGATTTCATGAAGGAAGACAATCAAGATTGATCGATTGATTTGTCTCATTTACTGAATTCAACTTACTAAGTCCTTGTTTGGGCTCCATTTTAATTTTAATACTTTTTACTCTTTCTTCTTTTTAACCATACATTCTTCAATAAAACAATATTACACGTAAATTCAAAACTTTTTCTTATATTTTGACCACATATTATCCAAAAATACTACTTGAAAATATATTTTTCTCAAACCTTATTAAAATGAAGCCCAAAAAGGGCTAAATATGTTATCGAATTAGGTTCGTGTTAACACACTTGAACATGAAGTATCTAGGACCATTAATACAACAACATAGTCTCAAATTAAATCAAAGATACCTAATATATTGAGGTTGTAAGCCATTAAAAACCAAATCAACACATGTTAATCGATTCCTCTTAAATTGTCAAAAGAAGAAAAAGAAAACAAACCAAAAAATAGTTATAAAATATTCCTATAGTAATCAAATTTCTGAACTTACACTGACATGATCTATAATCAATTGCTTATTTTTAAGTAGCCATACCTATATATAACTTATGATTTCTCTTTCATTTAAACCAAAAGACACACACTCACATAAGAATAAGCTAAAATTCAATATCAATACATACATGACAGCCTTCCAATAATCCTTTTGTTATCTTCAAGACATTAACCATGGCTCTTGAACTCGATAATGGAATGCTCATCGCGACTAACGCGAGCACTCCCAATGCCACGCTCGGTCTTGTATTCATTAAATACGTTTGCAATAACGCCATTGCTTCACAAACATCCTCTTGATAACGCGTAAAAATCCTCTTCTCCCATTCCATCCAATCAGAAGAAGGCTTTTGACTAGTTCTACTACTCTCTAACACCTTCATTTTCTTGATGTGCAGTCTTAGAACAGACATACTTTCATCAACAGGTGAAGATTTTGCCTCATTATCATCTTTTTTTGCAGCAACTACAACTTTTGTTACGATCCCATGTCTTAGGCTGTAAGAGGGTTTCTTTAGAAATGGCCTATGGGGTAATCTAGGACAAGACAACAAAGTAGCCTCCATTCTTGAGGAAAATGAGAGATTATAATACAAAAAAACATGGGCCAAACAGGGAATTACTAGAATTTAACAGCGTCGCATATAAATATATAGAGAGAGGGGGAGGGGGAGAGGTTATATAAGGCATACAAATACGTAGACACAAAGTGGAGTGTTGAATTTGTTTCTTGGACACAAAGAAGTGTTGGGACACGTGGCAAACGTGAGCATGTGCCACGTGGAATTGCATTTGTGTTACGGGCTGTTTTTGCTATTTCTCCCGGGATTAGATCCAGGCCTAGGTGGCATGACCCCGACCCTAGATTTGAATATTAAAAATTCATATC